TTTCTCAGGTACGCGTGGAGGTATCAAACTGAAATTCATATCTAATACTCAGGTCTACTGTTCCTTGGAGCTGCGCAAAAATCAAACTTCTAAGCCAAAGCAATCAAAAGATACAACTGTTTATGCCGCAAATTTCCGCAAATTATTGAAACTCGCACGGGAATCAAAACCTACAGGGCACTTCCCGTGAACTTAGAATCTTGAAATTTGGTACGAAGTAATGTCTTATAGTACAGATAAAGGAAAAATTGCGAAATCCGTAAATTTTAAGTTACATCATATACTAAAAAATATTTTTGAAAATTCAGGTTTGTACGGAACCCTCGGTGCGCGAGTCCGACTCGCATTTGGCCAGTTTTTTTTCATGTGTGTGTGGAAAATACTTGATGTAGCCGTTATGCACCGGAAACATGCTCGCATAGGCTCCGTGGGCTCCTCCCTGTCATTTCATCCAACCCCAAAGGCTCAATGAAATGGCAGGGCCATACCCGGTAGCGGAAGGGGGGCGGTACGGTGGGCACTAGGCCTAGTACTCAGCCCCCACGCGCGGGCCATCCTGCGCACGTCTGCGGGGTCCCCGCGATACCCCGGGAGACCCCTGCCGCGGAGCCCCGGCAAAGCCGGGAGGCTGCTAGGTGCGGAGACGCGGAAGAATCCCTAAACGGGGATCCCGCGGCTAAGCAGCTTAGAGGGTGTTCGCAGGGTTTTTTAGCGGATATTATACCGTAAAGCGCCCGTAAGGGTTACGGGGTTCTCGGCGGTGTGCCTCTTAAAGGCGCCGTCGTCTGTAAATAGTATTTTTTGCCTGCGTATAAAAAAAAAGGGCCATACCCGGTAAGCGGCGACTCATAACTGGACCCCGCAGTTACGCCTGTAGGGTGAGGGATAGATCAGGGAGTTGGTTTACCTGGTAGGTACGGGAGCTGGTCAGCTGGCTAGCCGTTCGGACTGCGGTCCGTGAGACTAGTCAGGTGACGCTGTGAACGGAGAAGCCCAGGATCGGCTAAAGCGGGTCGGAGGCGGAGTGGTTTGACGTATGCCACACTTGCGTGAGTGCACGTTAAAGTATACCCGCACCGACTAGCGGCCCTGGGGCTGCTCGCCGCTTGCCGAATGCACCACGCAATTACCTGCGTCGCGAGGGTTTGTTGACAGCAAACCAACGGGGAGTAAAAATGTATTATATCCAATAATACATTTTTACTCCCCGTCATCGAGAAAAAAAAGGGTCATACCCTGTAAAAACCAGACGATATTGAAACAATCCCCTGCCCATGGAGCCCTGGAACCTCAGTAAGACACTCCTTCAATGTAAAACGTACTCTGATTTTCCGAAGGATATTCTGCTTAAGCAACCTTTGAAATTCGCAGTTACAGGTATTATCGTCATTTTATTAAAAATGCAAATTTTGAACTGGAAGTTTTGTGGAGTCACCATTACAGAAAACTAGAAATAGCGTACGTGGGATGACTATGCAACTTACAAACGTATGTGATTTCATCGTTTAAGGACTTTGATCTATGTCGTACATAACTAATGTGATATTTTAATTTTATCATGTTATCAGAGTTATACCACAATGTTGTACTTCGGACTCTGGTATCACACACGGGTGCACTGAGAGACGTCGCGCGTCCAATAATTTTCATGTATGATTAGTTTAGTTTGTGTGTTGCCAGTGATGACCTACGGAAGCGAGACGTGGTCCTTTACTGCGGGTCTCATAAGAAGGCTAAAGGTCACACAGCTAGCAATGGAGAGAGCGATGCTTGGTGTTTCCCTACGCGATAGAATCAGAAATGAGGAAATCCGTAGGAGAACCAAAGTTACCGATATCGCTCGAACGATTGCTCTGCTGAAGTGGCAGTGGGCGGGACACGTAGCAAGAAGAACCGATGGCCGATGGAGCGGAAAGGTTCTGGAATGGTGACCACGCACCGGACGACGCTCAGTGGGCAGGCCCCCTACAAGGTGGACCGACGATCTTGTGGCGCAGGACCGATCGGTGTGGTGATCCTTGGGGGAGACCTATGCTCAGCAGTGGGCTGACATGATGATGATGATGATTAGTTTCATTCTTGGGCATGTATGTATTATACATGTTTTCGTAAGAAATTGCCCAACTATTAATATTGATACATGTTTTTTTTTATGTAGTCATGTAGGCAAACTACTCTACCCCACCTGATGTTAAGTGGTGATAAAGTCCAAACGCCAAGATTGCTTGTACACCAGTTATAAACTGCCACACCAAACATCCTCACCTTGCCGACTAGCAAAAATGCTTCTTCACGCCTCTCATAAAAGACCCCAGATTGTAGGAAGAAGGGATCGAACACATGCGCGGTCAAAAAATTCTACTTACGAATAATACGACAAAGAAATGAGTCACCTTGCTTTATTCGTGTAGGAATAGTGGAATTCGCACGAAAATGCGTTCCATAGTATAAATGATTTCAAGCATACAGACAGATAGACACAGGTCCTTAATGTTATAATAAAATATAGATAGGCATGTACTAAGTATTATGTCTTCAGTCGTTCACAACTCATGCAAATCGATACTAATATCCATATTATATTAGAATCGATTTGCATTAGATGTGAACGACTGAGGCAAGTTCATTTATGTGGACGGAGGAGCCAAGGCCGGCAAGCGCAGCCGACGAAACACGCTTTCTAGTCCAAGGTCGGATAGCATTTTGTGCAGACTGCGATGATGCCAATGTGAATTGGTTTGTATGAGGCATCGGTACCAATTTGATTTTTTATACGAGCCCAGGGGGGCCCAGTCTCCTGATGTAACAGGAGATCTGTTTTTCTGAAATTTCTCCTGTTGTACTGTTTTTCTACATGAATCTACTGTTTTTCTGTAGAATACGATTTTGTTTTTTTTAAATGAGTTGCGTTTTCCGCCATTAAGAATGTAGGTAACCTTAATTTAAGGGGCGGCAGTAACCACAGAAACACACTCATTACTGGCCTATATCTTGAATTTGATTTACCACTTCTAGGGGGTGGGGGTCAAAAAAGTAAAGGGTAAGCGGTTTACCTTATTAATAGGTTTACGTGAAAATAATGGGGATGATGACTATTTTTTTTCTTCGTTTATAAGGTAGATTATCAAAAAGTATTGGACACGTATTTTTTTCTTTTTTCACATAATATAAACATTGCAGAGATATATTAATATGAAAAGTCGCATGACGTCACGTTTATGTACAATTTTCACCTAAAAGTGACGTCACGAGCCCCTACTCCCGAACTTTGACGCGCTATATCTTTGTCATTTTTTAGTTGATTGCCCAAAGAAAAAATACGTGTCCATTATTTTTTGATCATCTAACTGACGGACTAAATAGAATTTCGTTTACTGTACCCCGTCATCACCCCTATTGCGTTCCCATGTTACAATGACCAATACAACGTATGCCCACTATATTTCCCATCGGCGAGTACTTTCACACTAACAAACTCACAAGGGGCAGTGGCCCGCTGGTGCACCGAGTGGGTACGCAGCAACCGCAGCAGCCGACAGCGACGGCCGATGATCTGTTGCCTCACAGCTTGCATCATTGCGCGGAGAAATAAACAAGTCATCGCTGTCGCCGAAAATATTATATCAATAGATAAGTACACCTATGAACAATGTAAACAGTTTTCCAGGTCATTTGTGTTTGTTGTTTTCTCAATAAAGTGTTACAAATAGAAAAATATATGATGTGTGTAATGATTTTTTTTATATGAATTAATTAACTAATCGATATAAATTAAAACCACCTTGCAATAAAAAAGAGCTAAGGTCGCTTAGCGAGCTATGGAAAGAGCTATGTTGGGGGTTTCTCTGAGGGATCGGATCCGGACGAAGTCATTTGCAAGAGAACTAAAGTAACAGACATAGCTCAACGGGTAAGCAAGCTGAAGTGGCAGTTGGCTGGTCATATATGCCGTAGAGCGGATGGCCGCTGGGGCAGAAGAGTCCTGAAGTGGAGACCTCGACTCGGCAAACGTAGCGGGCGTACTGCGACTAGCTGGAGCGATGACATCCGAAAAGAAGCAGGTAATGATTGGATGAGGAGAGCTGAAGACCAAGCTCATTGGCGTGCAATGGGAGAGCCTATGTCCAGCAGTGGACTGATGATGATAACCAAAAAACTTAAAATTTAAAATCTTTTCATATTTTAAAGCTTATTTTATCTCTATTTGACTATAAACAACTGAAAGAATACACACAGAACACAGAAATAGGTTAGAAGGGTGATCATAAACCGTTTGTACGGAAACCGATATAATTCATATACCTACCTAAAACACTTTATTAGAAAATACTGTAGTTTCTACTGTACTGCTACTGTTCTAAGTTGTAGCAAGAGCGTCGCCAGCTTATGACTAAGGCAATGGGGCAATATAATAAGTTAGGCAGTCAATTGCTCGCTTTGCGGCTAGCTACGTTTGATCTCGGGGCGGGGGGGGGGGGGGGGGGGACTGACCCCCCTGCCCGCCTTAGCGACGCCCTTGAGTAGTATTAATAATGAGTTGATTCATAAGTAAAAAAAGTTTTCAAAAGCGCCTAGAAATAAAATTACAGCAAAATTGCTTATATGCAATGGATTGAAATGAATATTTAGGTATTTCAGAAATGTTTTAGGAAAGCGACTTGGAGTTAAGAATAGGGAACGGGGAGTACATACTTACAACTTATAACTTACTTGTACTTGGGAGCAGTCGTTAGACGTAAAAGCGAGATAAGTAAGACTAGGTAAGTACCTACTTGTACCATTGCCAGATGGCCGGCAAATCCGGGATTGTCCCGGAATTTTGCATCTTGTCCCAGTTATTAGACCCGGATTCCGATAAAGTGTTTCGTAACAAAATAAACTAATAACGAATAACACCGCTGGCCTACTGGATATTTTAATCTTGGGGGGTGGGCGGGTTTGATTTGATGCTATATATAAATATAAGCAATCATAAACCCCCCCCCCCCCCTCCCTCCCCCATGAATAATCAGGGGGTAATTGATAAGCCAGCATCTGGCAACCCTAGGTAAGACGCCAGGACCTAACCTACGATATCTTAAAAAGTAAAACATATTTTGAATGAAAAAATAATCTAAAACAAGTTGAAAACAGTCATAGCTGTCAAGAGACTTCTCAGATTAAAAAGTAGTGGTCATAGTTGGAATCTGACTATAATTTATTACTAAAGACATAAAAAAATGGCTGGTGCATAAAGTGAAACTGGTGAGATATGTATGACAGAGATGGAGCGATCGTGTGGCCAATCTTTCATACATGTATTGGCTGCTAGTTTCTTGCTTTCTGGCAATTTTGTGAGAGTGTAGCTCAGTTCAGTCTGCGATGGCATCATCAATGGTGACCGCTTGCATTCAATGAACGCCTACCGCTGTGCTGCGTGCCCCAACTGCCCTGCCACTCGGTCGGAAACATTCCTAAAACTTAAAGATATTATTCACTATTGCACTCAATGGAATACTGAGTACTGATAGAAACTCGTGCATTAGGTAGGCGTTAAGTGGTAAGTACAAAAGCAGGATGGTAGAAGACAACGATATTAATATCGTTGGTAGAAGAACATAATATCTTTGGCAGGTGCTGTATTACTGTCGGTGAGACCAGGGCTCCACGGGCATACTGTGTGTTACTGTTATTTGATACTGTAAAGCATTGCTAGCATCTATAGCTTATGGCAACCGCATACCTACTTATATTCTAAGAAATAATGTGTTTATTTATTTATTTATCTTGAACAATGTTTCTACAGCGATTTTTATGGATTTAATACTTAGAATAAAATATAAAAACAATCTTAAGACCATTTACAGAAACTTATTATGTACACATTAGATACTAACGGCGTATATCACATTTAATTTTAAAAATAATATAAAAATCATATAATTTACTAACATAAAATTATATTAAGATTTGATAAGACATAACAAATGATAGAAAAAAACAAACACTAAATACCCACGTAAAAGGGTTTTCAGCAATTTGTCACATGATAACTTTCTTAAGTGTGAGTGTGTGTGCATGTATGTATATGTGTGTGTTCGTTCTGTGTTCTATAAGGTCAGTGATATTTTAACAGGCAACCACTCCATATCGACTGAAGAATACACTGTGCCTTATTCTATTTTAATACCTACCATATTAGTTGCGACAAAAAATGTTATTCTTATCCATAACCGTTTTCAAATACCCGCGGTCTATTTGAATAGATTCTCTTCAATTTGCACAATGTCGCCTTTGCCGGTAGGTACCTATACCCAATGTTGTTTTGACATTTTTGAAATATTACAAGCCAATGGACAGGTTGTAAGCGATGCCTCGTATTTCTCCACGCGCGTTGTTGAGTGGCGCAAGCGCAACATTGTGGTGTGCAGTTTGGCAACGGAGGAAGGCAAAAGAACTGCTATTGGCCCACCATATAACGTTATTATTATTGCATTATGGACGAAATCTCTGGGATATTTTAAGACGTTAAACAAGCGAAACTTTTGTTTTAGTTTTATATAACTTGCAAATAAATATTGTTTTGTTTGCTACCCATTTTTCAATAACTTTTTGGTTTTCGGCATAGGTTATTTTGTTAATTATGGTGAAAATTGTTATCCAGTTTAGGTTTTACAGTGGTTTCAGTCTGGAATCTAGGTTCCTGTGATGTTACCAGGAAGCCGGCCATAAAGTAACTCTATAATACGAAGATGCACGCAACCCCATTATGTTTGGGCGAAAACATGTATTTTTTTCGATTAGATACTTTACAAAATCCAACACCTTCGCTGTCTTGAATCCAATTCATTGTAAATAATTTGGAGCTTTTAAAGTCTTATTGAATTTACGCGCAATTTGACCACAGTCTTCTGTTAAATTCAAGTTAATAAGACATGGTCTAAGGAGATTCTAAAGGGGGTAGCAAACAAACATCTTGATGGAATATTGTTCCATTTGTGATCCCTTACCTTGTTACACAGATCATTTATAACGCTAAAAATAGAGTAGGCCCGAAAACGCTACCCTGGGGAACTCCGTATGTTATGAAAAGCCCTTCACTTGTAACATCATCTGTATAGCCATAGCCTCTTAGATGCTCGTGATATATATACATATATATATATATATACAAAAGTTTCATTCACGTGCTATTGAATACCTGTTTTGTTGTTGTCGTGGGTGAACCACATAAAATGCGTGACGCATGCCCGACCACTGAGCATGGCGACGGAGTAATATGGTACTCCACCCCCTTACTGGAATGGTACTACCAGCTAAAAAACTTAACACCACTAAAAGGTAACGTAATTTTACTGTGGTCTCTTGGAAGGTGGAGGCTGGCTACTTCCCTAGACGGACGCACTGCATCTGCAGTCGTTAGCTCTCATAAGAACTAATCACTCATATAACTTATTACTCTTATCACTCATTACTCATATCACTCATCATTATAGCTCCTTCAAGGCTCAAAGTTTAAAAAGATATTGCAATTATGTAATATTTTGTCCCTTTGCGCAAATCTGTTTTCTGTAAATGCATAATTGCTATATAAGTATAAATAATATTATTAATCGAACATAGTTGTTCATATCTGCTATCATAGCCTACTTATTACCAGTATATCACACATTTTCGTACAAGTAGGAGTCATATACCAAAAATAGTCTAGGCTGCCTTTTGTTTCATAAACTAAATAATAAAAGGACTTTGATCTCCCCTAACATTCTTGTGTTTAATGTCATGACTCTTATTTTTATAATCTGAATTTTATCTACTAACTCTTATCTTGTTATCAACTCGGAACATTTATCGCAGCGTGCCTGGGTGCCATTTTATAAAGGTGTGCTGGTGGGCATGTTTGGACATTTGAGTATTTGCAAAAAAAACTGATAGGTACTTCTTTTGTTTACCAAAAACTTGGACAGAAATAGCAGATAATAATGTAAGTACTTATCTGTGCAATTAAAGTGAAACTTTTATGACATCGCCACATTATTTTTCGTTCATCTTTAGCATGCCGCATTATGTACATTTTTAATTGTAATTAAAAAAAAACAGATCTAACAATAAGCATCGGTAAGTTCAGTTGTAGAAAGCTCGCCTGACGGCCCAAGTTTGTTTTCAGGCAGTGAAAGGGCTTTCATTAATAATTTTAAAAGATTAACTTGCATCGTCGTTTCATGACACCACTCCATTTTTTTCGTCAATATTCTTAACAAAATGTTATTTTTTTAACATTTAACATCATGAGCCGATTAATGTTCACGATTCCATTGGTGTAATGAAAAATCACAGTTTAAGGATATAACACATTAGTTGACATTAGGGATTATGGATCGAAATCCATAATCAGGCTCCAGTTTTATTTCGGTTAAATATATAATTAACGATCCAAGTTTAACCTTCCGCCCGATGGTAATTCGAGATGAATATTTTATGATTAATATTTTTTGAAGATAAATTTTACCCAAGATGCTTTACCTGCGAGATTCGTGACTTTCACTGTTTGTGATTGCTTTAGATATATTAACAAACAAGACTATAGCAAACGAGTCTTATAGCCCATGTGATGGTATACGGTCACTATGTAGCACTAAAAAACTTGCGATACCATATTACTCTCGTTTGGGTACTCTGACCCTATACCTTGAAATGGAGACCTTAGAACTTTATTTGCTTATTAAAACACAGCACCACCGAAAGGTGCTGTTATTCCTCTGTATCCCGTTTTCTATAACTTAAAAGTTACTTGCCCATTCAGGATCTTCCATTCGAGCGACAAATCCACTATTTTCTCTCTACCTCTGACTTTATACATAATGTATTTCTAAATTGTCATAGTCTAGGTCTAGAGAGTCTCTCTCTTTAAAAACTTTAAATATACATACATATATAAAATATACCTATATATCGAAAAACTGACTACCAGTGGGTGTAACCCAAGCATTCTTACTAATTAAATAGATAACGTAGATTAATGTAATCATAAGTACAACGAACAAATTGATTCCAGACCCACTTACCCGATAATTCGCCTAAAAATGTGAAGCAGACCTTTGTTTCCAATGCAATAGATCATTTTATGGATAAAATCGAATTGTAGTTTGTAACTCTTTCGATTCTTGACATTATGAAAAAAGTTGGTAAACTAGGAAATCCTTACTCTAAGAGCAAGTTTCTAAGTATTTCAACGTTAAAATTATGTCACAGGGAAGCGGCAAAATATGTCACGTCAAGTATGATTGTTCAGAAAATAACAAGTTTGTTTCCAAGAATACGTACATTGTATATTGTACTGTAGGAAAATAACCTTATGGTCAGGAATTAAATTAGCTGTTAGTACCTAAGTACTTATCCATCATCTATTTTTGAGACAGAAAAATGAATAAAATAAAAGCCCATTAAATCATTTCTAGAATTGATCACGGTCATAGTAGAACTGTTGGATTGAAGCCAATTTAAAATATAGGCCGCACCTACTTGTGCGAAAAACAAACTTCAGTCAAACCATTCTCAAACAGAAACTGTATCATTACTGTATAAAAATCATTAGAAGTTAGAAGGAATCGTGATTTAGAAATCATGTTAGAAATTATCTTTTAAGTTACTGTTTGATTCTTTCTGATCTTGTTTAAGAGATTGGTTAATCGCTTTTCGATAGTTCTATTCTGATCTAGATAGGTGAGTCTAAAATATATTGTTTTGTCTAGATTTTATATTGAACCTTATCTTGTAGGGCGGAAGAACCGCTGGCGATCGTGGCAGTGCGTCTCGTTTTCGAGTTCATATGGGTACTACTGCGCACGCACTATGAGATCGGGAAAGCCGTATACCAGTGGTTCCTGCCACCGAAGCCGAAGGATGTCAGTGAAGATGTAATATTGGTAAGTGACATGCAATTAACGTACTCGTACCTAAACCATCAAGGAAAGGTCAACACGTCCAAAATTTTCTCTATTCTTGATGATTTAGACATATTTGTTTCTTAGGTTTTCACGCACATTACTCATTAAATAAGTTTCAACGGGTTAGATGCACTGATTTTATTTATTTATTATTGATTTAGACATTTTGAAATTTTATAGATAATCTGTTTCTAACTGTTCACTGCATGACATTTGAAAGTTTCTACTTACAAGGTTTGAAGTATTAGTTAACAGCTGGGATATTTAAAAGTTTTTTCACTCTCTGTCCAGAAAAGAATAAAATGATAAATACCTTAGATCAATGGTTACCAATTAGTTATTTTTTACGTACCACTTCAAGAAAAGTCTTAAACTCGCGTACCCCTTATTGCAGGAGCGATTAATGAAACATGAAGTTATGATTTATTAGAGATTTCTGCGTATGGGTACACACTTGATGCAACCTCGCTTACCCTGGGAAGCACTTCCTTAGATTAAATTAAAACGTAGTGATATCCTATGTTCGACGATCGTTATTGTCGACATACGATATCAATACACAATTTAAAGTTAACTTTGATCGATAATAATATTTACTTGAAACAATAACCTAAATAGCGTGGATACAAATTATGCAATGAAATTGTGACCTTAGATTAGATAAGAAAGGGCTGGTCTATTTAGTGTGGCACTATTATAATAATGAATGACAGAAAATCGCCTCTTCAATTTACACTTTAATTACTCCAAAAATGTAAGATTTCATGGTATAATGATATATAGCTCAAATTTTAATAAATAGCTCAAAATTATACATAATGATCCAAAAAAAAATTTCGGATTGGAGTTTTTTCCCGGAAACCGGAAATCGAGATTAATATTTTTTACCCTTAAAAACTCACCCCACCCCCCTTCCCGACCTCAGATCGCCCGTAATTAATTTTTGCTTTCATTTTTGTTGTATTCGCTACCTTTTCCAATGGGTTTCATCCTACTATAATTTTTTTCACTTTTTACCATTTTTAAAATTATCGACCCTGCCCCCCTAGCATGAGTAACAAAACGCGATATGCGTTATACGCGATTTATCGACACTCAACTGTCAAACTCCATAGTAGTTTGACAGTTAATGTCGATAAATCGCTTTATCATATCGCGTTTTGTTACTCATGCTAGGGGGGCTGGTCTATGTAGTGATGTATTGCATGTTAGGATGGTATAAAATGCTAAATAAACTGTGACGCTATACAAGAACTATTCTTTTTCATTCTTGACAGCACTTGAAGAGGATAAACTATTTGTATCAATTATGGCAGTGTTCTCTAAACCAAAACTAAAATTTGACAACAGTGAATCCTTGCCATTCTTTATACAGAATGGAAAAGAGAGACTGTTATTATAAATTTTGTTTTAAGTTTAGAGAATCATGCCAGAATCGACACCATTATCAAATTTAGTTTCAAGTTAAGAGAGTTGTGCCACAATCAAGTCTTGTGAGATTTGTTTTTGTTCCTAGATAACAGGTGCCGGTCATGGCATGGGTCGGGAAGTGGCAATGCGGTTTGGTCGGTTAGGAGCCACTGTAGTGTGCGTCGACATAAACCCCGCCAACAACGAGGATACCGCCAAGATGATCAAGAAGGAAAAGGGGAAAGCTTTCCATTATGTGTGAGTGACCAAAACGCGGACTACTGTTAGTCTTGGTTCAAACCTAATGTTGTCTCTGTCTTCCTTTTAGCAAACAAAAGTGACAGCATCAGTTTTATAGTCCAATTTAAGTTTAGTCTACGTTTTATAATAAGTCGGCTAAGGACTTGAAATGCCAAGACCTTTTTGAGTTAACAAAGCATCAAACACAATCAATGTTACATAAAAATATTTCCACTTTAAATATCACTAGATTGGCTGGGCCTAAATGATACTATACTAGCCATTTGTTGGGTGTAAGATGCTGTACCTCAGCCTCGATCACCTAAAATAGTTCCTGAAAGTACTAGTTGAATAGACTTTTTTGTAAAGAATGGAAGCGGATAGATATTTTGGCTTTTGTACAATCTGAATCTGATAGAAGTTGAAGCGTTTAATTATGTTTATAGTTCAGGGATGGTGTCCATTAAACTTTACTAATTTAATTAATATTAATTAATAGCTTTTCTACTGTACCATCAAGGAAATAGACAAGAGTACACAGGAATATAACCATTATTAACTTACTATACCTCTTTCATTCACCTGATAGAGATAGCTATGCTAACATAAACGGTCAATTTGTTTTAACAGTTAATGTCTTCTCCAGGTGTGACGTCACAGATCGTGCAGCCGTGTTCCAGTTGGCCGACAAAGTGCAGCGGGAGGTTGGTGACGTCACCATCTTGATGAACAACGCGGGCATCATGCCATGCAAGCCGCTGCTTAAGCAGACGGAAAAGGAGATACGCACCATGATGGACATCAACGTCAACGGGATCCTTTGGGTAAGTGACGTATCACTACATAGTATAAAACAAAGTCGCTTTCTCTGTCCCTATGACCCTATGTCCCTTTGTATGCTTAAATCTTAGAAACTACGCAACGGATTTTGATGCGGTTTTTTAATAGATAGAGTGATTCAAGAGGAAGGTTTATATGTATATTACATGCATAATATAGTAGAGAAACACTGATAATTTTAGAGGTTTTTAATGTAAGGTCGTAAATAAACACATTTTTTTGCGCTTACATTGCAAACGCTGGCTGAACCCAACGAGATAGATCAAAATAATGTACTACAGTATTGTACACCTTAAAAAGGTCTACAAAAAAGTCCGCGGTGGTATATTTCTATCTCTTTGGGATAACCCACAATAACCATTTTTTAATTACTTATTACGAGAAAATAATGGCTTATTTACGAACAACCGATTTTAAGCAATACAGCATTAATCCTTATCCAATTAAGTACCTTAAATACATTGTGCGTATAATATAGATCAATATGGCGCTTTACAGCATGTAACTTAAATGAATATTTTCGAAGATATTACAGATTTAAAATGCAGGAACATACCGGTTCGGGCGGTACTGGCCGGGGGGCCGGCGGCGGCGCGTGCCTATAGTAATTAGGTATTTAAAGAAAGTCATTGTGTTTAATAGAAGCCTGAGAACAAAAATATAGTCTAAACTACAGATGTACACCGAAGCGAAGCGAGGGCGGGCCACTAGTTTTATTATAAAAAACACTTGTATTAATATGGGGAAACCAATGACCTGATGAATCATAGAAGGTCATTGGAGGAACCGATAAAATGGTCAGCTTGAAGGTAACCCAGTACCAAAGTACCCACGTCAAACCCAGCTTATAGACACTTGTGATACCAAAGTATTACTCGTGCATTGCCTACCCTAACCCCATCCCCTCTCCTCCTCTCGACTCCGTAAAGCTCTGAAAATTTTATTCATCGATAGAAACACAAGAAAAGCTGTTCTATAAGTACTTGAGAGAAAAGTAGTGTCTTTCTCGGCTTTTCCGTTCAAATTCGAGCGTTCATCTGGGAAAGTAACATACATCTTACAGAAGATGAGAGAGAAATAACACTATTCTTTGGTGCTGTGTTTCTGCTGGTGTTTAAGCTAAGAGTTTTTCTTCTGGGAAGTGTATTGGATTCAGGTCGGCAAAGTTCTGAATCATTTTCATTTCTTAAAGTAGGCATAAAATATTGTACTCTTTCCGACCACTCTTTCCTCACTTATTTCTCATTTGCAATGAAATTTTTCGTTTGTTTCAGGCACTTCAAGCATTCCTTCCCACAATGCTGAAGAATAATAATGGTCACATAGTATCTATGGCCTCCATGGCTGGACTCATGGGGTTGCGCAACATCGTGCCTTACTGTGGTTCTAAATACGCCGTCCGAGGCATCATGGAAGCCCTCGCTATGGAACTCCACGAGGATCTTACTATTGCAACGAATGGTGTAAGTTTTATAAGTAGTTTAATTATTTGTCTTTCCAAGAAAAAGACCATTTGGTGCAAATTTTAGCGCTTATCCTGATTAACGATATTGCTTGTGACATTAAGGGTTTCGCTAGTTTATGTGTCAGTTTTTAAACAGATATTTTTAAGATTGTATTGTTTCTAGCTATTTCATAATATCAGGTAATACAGACGTATTTTAACGCTGTGCCCACTGAAACAAAGCGCCATAAGGCACGGTCCGTTCTCATACATTGTATATATCTTTCGTTTTCTTTGCATTTGTAGCTCTTTTCACACACATCTTTAACTTCCTTTCACAACTCGTTTTATAGAAGCCCGTCAGTTTTTGCGGTGTCTGGCGTCACCTTCCTTAATAATGCGTATCAATTTGATCGTATTTTGAATATAACCTGAACTGGAAACGAATAGTACCTCTGAAAGCACGCAGGAGGTACTTAGTAGACTGCGAACCGTTATTATAAATGAATTTGGTTTCAGATCAAATTCACCACGATATATCCGACGATGGTGAACACGGGCTTGTGCCAGAACCCACGAGTCCGCTTTAAGGCGATCACCAACGTGGTGGAGAAGGAGTTCGCGGCAGACCTGATCGTGGACGCCATCCGCAGGGAATACCTCGAGATCACTGTGCCTACCGAGTTGTGGTATATGAATAGGGTGAGTGTCTTTATTCAAATTCACCGCGATATGTCCAACTATAGTTGATTGAACACTGGACGGTGCCAGAACCCGCACATCTGACGTGGTGAAGGAGTTCGCAACCGACCTGATCGTGGACGCCATCCACAGGGAATACCTCGAGATCACCGTGCCTACAAAGTTGTGGTATATGAATATTGAGTGTCTTTATTCCAATTCATCACGATATGTCCAACGATAGTTGACTGAACCCTGGACTGTGCCAGAACCCGTCATCTGACATGGTGAAGGAGTTCGCGGCATACCTGATTGTGAACGCCATCCGCAGGAAATACCTCGAGTTCACCGTGCCTACAGAGTTGTGGTATATGAATATGGTGAGTGTCTTTATTCAAATTCACCGCGATATGTCCAACGATAGTGGATTGAAAACTGGACTGTGCCCGAACCCGCGCATCTGACGTGGTGAAGGAGTCGCGGCCGACTTGATCGTGGACTCCTTCCGCAGAAAATACCTCGAGATCACCGTGCCTACAGAGTTGTGGTATATGAATAGGGTGAGTGATTTTGTTCCAATTCACCACGATATCTCCGATGATGATGAACAAGGGGTTGTGCCACAATCCGCGTGTCCGGCGCTCAACAACGTGGTGGAGAAGGAGTTCAATCTTAGGAAATTTCTTAATGATAATGACATTTTTATAAAAATACGGAATTAGTACAGTCTTGAATAAATGATAATTAGTCTGCCTGAAGGAAGATCACTCAATTATCTAAGGGTGCAATGCTATTTTTTATTTTTTCTTTTCAGTTTATATTCCGTATACTACCCTACAAAGCCGCTTTGGCAATGAACGATTTCTTCGGGACCGGCCTGGACCCACACGAATAGTATCACCACAAACAACTAAGTTAATATTTAAGCGAACATGCATTTATGTTATTTTTAAACAATAACTCCCGAATTTCTCTTTGGAATGTTGATCAGATGCTTTATGATTTACATGTTGTCTTTTGTAAAAGTGTAGGTATTTGTAATGTATATTTATTTTTGTAAATATTGTTGTTCATATTTTGTAAATAAAAATAAGGAAATATTTTCAATTGTTTATTTTCTATTGTTTACCGTTTTTAAACTCAGACTAACAACTTAGTAGGTAGGCATTTTTAAGCATGTGGATTTTTCTCTAGTATATATTTTTTCCGAACAACTATGTAAGTAGTGGCGACTGATATGTAAATAAAACTTATATTAACGAGTTTGTGCAAAAAAAACAATAACAGTAACTAAATTTATTTTGCGAACAATATAGTAGTTGCAAATAATTTTCCATTTTCTACTTATAGAATTTGCGATTTTACATCTACACACTGAGTACTTAGGACACCTATGTATACTATCAATGAGGAGCTCGATGGCGTGAAGGTAAATGTATTCGTGGAAGTTTAACATCTCTCGCAAAGGCTGGGAGAATAAATATTATCTTCCTCTCCATGCTTCGGAGAGCACGCCAATTGTTTGGAACTAGCTGCATCTGCAGCCGTAGTACCCACCACTCTGCAGGTTGCCCTTGCCCCTTGGTGAGTCATTTTCCCTATCCCACCCACAGGAAAGACTCATGGACTATGCCCCGGATGTAAGAATAGTTATTTGTGATATTAGTGCGATAAGTTGGTTATTACAAACGATAATCTTCTTATTCTGAATCTGGAGAAAACCAAATACATAACTTTTTCACCCTCAACTGTGTCACTTCCTCCAACTGATTTCACACTTTATGCTCACAGGTATCATCAAAACCCTGACTGCAATTGTGTCCAAATTACACATACTTGTTCTATAAATTATCTTGGAGTTGTATTAGACGCAACCTTATCGTGGAATTCGCATTTAAATTACTTAATCCCAAGAGTAAGGAAGCTTATTTTTATTTTTAGAAATTTAAGAACATCGGCTGATTTCACAACCCTTAAGATGGTTTATTATGCACTTGGGAGAATAAATATTATCTTCCTCTCCATGCTTCGGAAAGCACGCAAAGTGGTTGGAACTAGCTGCATCTACAGCCGTAGTACCCACCACTCTGCAGGTTGCCCCTTGGTGAGTCATTCTCCCTATCCCACCCACAGGAAAGACTCATGGGCCCCCGATGTAAGAATAGTTATTTGAGATATTAATGCGATAAGTTGGTTATTACAAACGAGTAGACGAATTGTAAATACCAATTCCAGACGAATATCATACAAAGTTTTGTAACACATTTGCGAGAAATCAGTATAATTTTTAAGTAATGAAGCAAACTTTTATAGGAAGAAAATGGCGCACATTTCCACTTGGCGCCACGTGCTAGTGGTGAAAATTAAAACTACATCTTACGGCTCTTTTTCTTTTTTTAGGATAAAAGTGCGACAAACGTAAGGATCAAGAGCTAGACTAGAAGCTAGACAATAGGCTAGAGATTCGATAGAAATAAAAAAAATGACAGGTTGCACTCCGGGAGTGCCGGCAGTAGTGAAAACTTGAATATTAACGTTGTGCATTTTTGATATTTTGGAATGGTTAGGGAATAATTGCTTTAATTATCAGTATAAAAGTACTATCATGTATGTGGTAGAATACAATATTTATTTATTGGGCTATCGTACACAATCATGACAATTTATATTACATTAAAAAAGTTTATCTCTCAGAAAAATCAACTCACATGAATCACGTTTAAGCGCACTTAGCGACATCTATTGTTAAGAAATCAACTTACATGAATCACATTTAAGCGCACGTCTATTGTAAAAAGATGCATTTTCTTCGCAATAAAGCTGCCACGTGGACGTCCTAGATAGAGCCTTATTATTATAATACGATAAAATAAAATATTACTATGTTTCGTCCAATGTATTGATAGTCAACAACCTTTCCAATTTTATTGTGTGTCATGATGCGATCAGCCCGCTTGTTTAATCTGACGCGAGTTTAACATCTCTTATCTATTAGACAAGTCCGTCCGTTCGTGAACCGGATGAGAGTAACGTAGCACTTCCGGTTTTCGAGAAATCACGTGATTTCTATTTCAAACGAAACCACACACAATCTCCGAAGTTCTCAATTAATTAAATACTTTTTTTTTTTTGGTGAACATTTGGTTCACTGGTTTGCTAGTTTTTTACTCATACATAAAAAAGTGTACAATACCGCTAAAGAAGTATTCACTTCAAAAAAACCGTAAAGGAATCTGTCGGTGCCATATACCAGAGCGTGTGGTTAAACTTTTACCGCACACTCTGTTGTATGATGTGTATTTATTTTTAACTCTCGAACAAGGTATACAACCTCTGAAAATGCATTTTTTTAGAAAATATGTTGATAAATCTATTTCAGCTTTTAATTTTATTTATTTATAGAATTTCACATTACTATAAATAATAACAATACATTTAGCCAGTGCTACAAAAACCTGTGTAGATTTTACCGAACACTGGGATTCGTCATCTTTTAGATCTTTTTTTTTCGCATCTGCATCTACCCTCTTTCTACGAGTTGTCGGCGGTCGCCCTTAACAGAGCAATGAGTTTGTTCACACGGGCGGGTTCCCCATCAGATTTTACTAAATACTGTTACTTTATTATGGTGTTGAAAAACATTAAATTTTACTATAGTAAATACATTATTCTTGATTTATTAACTCTCAGCAATAATATCCTTTTAGTACGTTTTTAATATTAATTTCACTAATTTCTTTTTTTACATATATTGGTAATTTGTTAATTAACTTGGGTATCTGAAACTGTAATAATTGCCTACCATAAAGATTATTGTATCTTGGGATATTGAATGTAAGTGCTGATGCACTACGGGTTTGCTTACTGTGCTGCTTTATAATACAAAAGTTTTCATTAAAAAAGTTTTCTGAGATCAGATTAGATTTGTACGTTAAAACGTTACAGTGGTAGAAGAGTTCTTTTATATTGTTTTTGAATTTAATTTTAATTTTATTAGGAACTATGGCTTTTAAAATTCTAACTTGTATATTGTATATAAGGTCCAAATGTGATTTTACAGTTCTTCCATAGCTACTTATATCATAGCTTATAATCGTTTCTTCCAATGCCTTATATAGTTGCAAAAGTATGGAATATGGAATTTTGTTTCTGACTAATACAAATTTAGACAGTATTGCTCGCAATTTGTCATATACATAATAAATATGATCGACCCATTTCAATCTATCATCTATTATTAATCCTAGATATTTCTGTTTATTCACGATTTCAATGGGATTACACAGACATTTGTGTACAATACCGCTAAAGAAGTTAGAAATAAAGATAGAAGCAGAAGCTAATGATATTAGTATATAAAGTATAAACATTATCTTCAACAGATTTTGAAATTAATATTCTAGTTTTATGGTTTATCTTGAAAACAATTGACTTGAAGGCTCCTATTATCTATAACCAATCCATTTTTATTATATACCAAGTAATAACGAGCTAATAATCTAGTATGGATTATCTTTCTCATTTCGGTTTAGATAAGATTTTGTATGGAAACAATATATTTTTTTAATATTGATGTAAGACCTTGATATTTGTTTATTGTTTATCAAAGTATGTGTTGTGTAAATCTGAGTTCACAAGGTATTGTCCTGTACGTGCTTCTTTTAAATTTCAATCCCGCTATTGTGCGTTTTATTCTAATATTTTCGTATCATAACAAAGTGCTGGGTAACCCAGGTTTAAGTTAACCTGGGTTACCCAGCGGATGTAAGTAAAAGTTTACTTACATCCGCTCTCAAAACTGAGAATTAATTTCAGCGCCCCGTTAAGTAATCTTATTCTACACTAGCGGCCCGCCCTCGCTTCGCTTCGGTGTAGAGATGAAGTGTAGACTACAGTTTTTGTTCTCAGGCTTGTATTATACACAATGACATTCAGCCCGATCGGTTTACAAAGTTTCATACAAACTTTCATTCCCTATTTTATCCCCTTGGGGGTAAAATTAATCAAAATCCTTTCTTAGCGAATGCTAACGCCATAACATCTATCTGCATGCCAAATTTCAGCCCGATCCGTCCAGTGGTTGCGTTGTGGGCTGTGCGTAGATAGATCACTATGTCAGTCAGTCACCTTTGAGTTTTATATATAGATAAATGTATCGCAAAGAAAATAACATGAGCGACTTTAATCAAAGGTAAAAGTGAATTGAAAGTCTTCGTATGCGGCTATCACATAAAATAAACAATAAAAATTCTTGGGTAATTTTTTTTCAATCAATTAATATTTATTGATTTCCATTACATACCAAATTTATAATGGTGTAATAATAATAATAACAATTATTTAAACAATAATAACTATCAATTAAGTATCTATATATAGTATCGTTCCGGTTTTTCGAACTTGGACCACATTCACGCGCTAGAACAGGTCGTAGAAAAATACAGAGTTCAACAAAAACCTCTACATAGGCTTTATCAACTAGACAAAAGCATTCCACAGCCTCTACCATGATTCTGTCTGACAGGCTCTCAAATTACGAGAACTATAAAAAAAAACCGTAACAGTGTGAGTGGAGTCAAACTAGAGACTCGAGGCGAAGAGATTAATATAGCTAGAGACGTCAGGCAACTCCCACACTGTTAATTGCCGTTCTGCAGTCCATATTTATCAACCTCAACTGGGCCTCTGAGAACAGCCAAATGAACAGCGCTCGTCTCAGTCATCTAAAATTCACTAAACTGTAGTTAGTTGATAAAATGTTACTAGACAGTAATGTTGCCGAGTCTCACACGAAGTTAGAAAAATGTAAACACCAACTTAATATAGAGGGTAATTAAGTCGGCCTACAAATGAACCAAAGCAAAACAAAAGTAATGGCAAACGGCAAGAAAGAAAAAATCATGCTAAACGGTATAGAACTAGAGTATATAGATAAATATATATACTTAGGAAAACAAGTATCCTTCAACACAACAAATAACGAAGATGAGGTCAAGAGAAGAATCATATCCAGCTGGAACAAGTACTAGAATTAAGTTTACACAAAGAAATACTAAAAGGCAATCTCGATCTGGAGCTGAAAAAGATTGTTATGGATACTTGAATTCTACCTTGCCTTACTTACGGCTTCCAGACCTGGAATTTTACAAACAACATGAGAAGAAAGATAAGCACATGCCAGAGGTCAATGGAACGCAGAATCGAAAAGTAAAAAGCCAACAAAATAAAAAAAATATACCAAATTGACAGATGCTCTATATAACGCATTAAAATTAAAATAAAACGGGGCCGGCTTTGTAGCGACAAACACTGATCAGAGATTGACTCTTTAAAGTAGTATATGAACTGTTCCAAACGGAAAAAGAAATGTGGAAAGACCACTGAAACGCTGGGTAGAAGATATGCAGTTGCAGGAAATATCTGGACGAGGACAGCGCGAGATAGGAGAAAAAGGAAGAAATTGGGGGCGGGCTATATCCTAACAAGGGATTCCTGTAAAAATAAGTAAATATATAACTACTTGCAACCGAAAAATTACTACCTAATAACAACACAAAATTGTTTAAAAAGTGTATAATGGGAAATGAAAGGCGTTTTTTTATTAAAATGCCTAAAGAAATAATAAGTAGATTTGAGTATGTATGTACTTATTCGTTATGTACCTTTGCTAACAAGGTAAAAATTATTCGATAGATAATTGAAATTTTCTTTTGAATAAAGAAAACCGGTCAGTTCAATTCGGTCCATTCGGTATACTAATTTTCAAAGATCAATGAGTCTACATATAAGTATTTAATTTTATAATTACACCATCTTTTTTCGTTACTTTTATCTTAGTGAGTTAGTTAGTTCTTCAGGGCGGTTTCCGCACTTAGTCCTAATTATTGGACCATTGTGCGTGTCTCAAAACATTCCCGCTTACTCCAGCCAGCCTATATCGGTCCAGAAGGAAAGCAGCCTTGGTAGACTGCTGCAAGCTTCCGGAAACGATTCTGGTGACTGGAGAAGTCGTGCCCGTTGGTCGGCCACACTCCTGCATTCCATGATGACATGCTGTGGCGTTTCCTCTGCCTCCATGCATCTTCTGCACAGGGGGCTGTCTGTAACTCCTATTGTATATAGGTGCCTGTTTAGGGGACAATGACCAGTCAGCGATCCTATAATCCTGCGAAGTTTGTCCCTATTTAGTTTGGTAAGGGTGCGGGCAAAACTTTTATTTACCGCCGGAACCGCGTTTTTCGTTTGCCGGCATCCTTCACCTGTTTTCCACTCCGTCAAGTGTGTTTTATGAGTTATTTCACGCAGCCACGTTTTAATTTGGGCCTGAGGTATGGGCAGTAAAGGCTCCGGACCATACACCTTTGTGTCTTAGCCAGTTCGTCTGCTGCGTCGTTTCCAATTGAGCTGCTGTGTCCTTTTATCCATTGTAGAGTTACCGTGTTGCTAACCGCAATGGATTGAAGTGCCTTGTGGCACTCCATTACTAGGACAGAGTTTATTGTGTTGCTACGTAGGGCTTGAAGCACGGATGCACTGTCAGAGATGATTTTGATGTTATACTCTCTGATATCTCTGGCTGCAACCGCCTGTGCCGCTCTGGTAATGCCAATACATTCCGCCTGGAAGATTGTACTTTGTTTGCCTAAGGTTGTAGATATTTTTATATTCAGGTCGTTTGAGAAGACACCGGCTCCAGTGCCACTGCTGGTTTTGGAGCCATCCGTGTATATCCTAACTTCCCCGGCGCCAGAGTAATCTGCCTTTTCCGCGGTAAGTTGGATGTTGTATCTTCGATCAAAGACGTGTTGACTTAATATTCTATCCATAGGTGCCTCCAGGAGTGGGACTCCTTCGTGCACTTTTGTAGAATATTGGAGTGTGTTGTTACAGTATTTAATCTCCATAATCCTAGAGACTTTAGTCTCAAGGCTGCTGCTTTCGCCTCTTCTTGTATGACCAGGTCCAATGGTCTTAAATTCATGAGGTACTCTAATGCAGCCGATGGAGTTGTTCTCATACATCCAGTTGCTGCTACGCTCGCCAAGCGTTGTAGACTTAGGAGTTTGGATTTCACTGTGGTCAGTTGGGTCCTGGGCCACCAAACAACTGAACCATAGGTTATAGAGGGCCTGATGACTGCTGTGTATAACCAAAGGGTGATCTTTGGACTACTTTTATCTTATTCCCTTACTTATCTATATTAAATAAGAAGATATTTAGGTATACCTAATCGATAAATTCCTTACATAAATAAATACGATCAGACTATCTGTAATACCTACTCAAAAAACATTGAGCTTACATAATATTACAACCATGTTAGCTTATTACTATAAAAGATAATAACTATGATAATATAATAACTAATAACGGGATTGTTACCATGTACCTTGTTTTTATGAGTTTCCGATATTTCGGCACTGTTGCAAGCGCCATGATCACGGACCTACTAAAGTAATTGCGATTAGTTGTTTAAGATCCGTAAAAATTGTATTTCACCAATCGAAAGGAGATTGCTCAGCTTCCATACATGTTTGGCCTAAAGACCAATAATCATGAAAAATTGTTTCCTAGATTCGAAATTATATATAAATTACAGTAGAAACGAATATTATTGACGGACACCCCTGAGAACTTCTATAAACCATATACACTGAACATATTAAAATAATAAAAAACAAATAAGTTATATAGTAAACTAGGAAATCAAGCCAAGTACCGAAATTATGGATTCAGGTATAAAGAGCATGTAGATTAACAAATAGTTCCCTGTTTTTAAAGTTAATGCATAAGAGTAACTTTTAAAATCAGGTGTCATTTCCGGTTATAACAAGGTACTCTGTGACAGAAACTGTGTGATGATTGTGAATGAGCCACAGATTAGAGAGAATTTTTAAACTCTCGTTGACCAAAGAAAGCTTAGAGATTTAGGTTCTATAGCCATATATTCAGTAGCTTCATTATTTTGTTATGTTTTTAAGATAACCATATTTTAGATTTTTAGTGTATCACACCTTATAATTTTATTTATTTATTAATTTATAGTCAGGGAACGTAGGCCCACAGATAGATACCTTAAAGTCTAACATATTATATACAGATTATAATGTGTTTAAGGAGGTATTTGGCGAAAAATGTATGGCAATAGACTTTATGATGTCGCCTACCATCTATAATAATTGTCTGAGCACATTTGCATCTTGAGAGAAATAGTTGCGGACATTAATACCACAGTGTACCTAATAAAAAAATGATTTATTTTATCGATCTTTACAAAATAGATTTGTTTTTATGTTATATAAACAACTTCGATCAGTCTTTGGCTGGATGTTACTACACCCATGATTTGTATGTTTTCCAAACCGGTAAAATTAAAAGTTCTTTTAAAAGTAAATATATTATACAAAGGTGTCCGTTGAAAACTAATGACTGTAAATTAAATTATAAATTACGCCAAGAATTACCCTGTATGTCAATATTTTTTGTGCATTTGGGCCAATTTGAGCAATCTCCTTTAAATATGATCTGGCAAAACTTAAACGTTGAGCTTTATGAGTACAAGTTAAAGCCACTTTTTTGGCATGACGGTGGATTCGAGTGCAATGTAATCCACTTCTTATTATTCTTGGAGACACGTCAAACATTTCAGCAAAAAAAACTAGTATTCTCAAAACCATTTTCTTCATAGTTTTGGCTCATATAATGGTAGAACTGTACTTCCAGGGCCCAAGAGGTGATACTTGCTGTTTTTTTAATAAAGGTCTCTTAAATTTTTTTTTTCTGGCGCTTCGCTCGCTCGGCTCGCGCGTTATTGTCACAACACTAACCTAACCTCACCTAACCTAGTGTGAAGTATCACTACTTCGGCCCTGGAAGTATAGTTTAGCCCATATAATTTAATTGTTCATTGATGAGGGTCGGGCGGCGTCCAGAACTAGTATGGCGATGGTCAGTAAGATTTTCCTCTTCCGCGTGTCTGATGATCCAGAACCCACACAGAACCTTACAGTATCTCTTTTGATGTTGAGATTTAACGATATTTCGCTAATATTATTTATACCCAGCTATATAATACATACATGGTCTGCAAATATTGCAGTTCTTTCCTCGATGCTTAAAATTCCTCGGCATTATCAAATTGCACACGACGGAGCAATAAATTAATTATTGCAAAAATATGTGACAGTGAAAGACGTTGATAATTAAACAGAAAATATCGTAAGTAACGAAAAATAACTAATAAATACTAAAAATAAGTAATAACTAACTAGGCCATTAAAAAGGTTTGCTGTTGATATGAAACTAGACGTAGGTCAAAGGTGTGCACTAATTTGACCCTTGTTATCATACTATGTTAGTATAATTTTATGTACGGTTGTCTGCGTAATGCTTTAGTTTCAAACGGTACAAAGAGTTTACGACTTGACAAAGGAATGAAAAAGATAACTGATGAAGGTTCTCTTATACTAACTGTACTTAAACTTATTTAAGTTTATAATCAGACCCAATATTGCCTTCTGCACTGACATAAATTACCTAATATGAATGGCGTTTGTCAGGTTGGTGGTCTTTAAATGAATAAGACATAATGAATAAGGGTGCGGGTTCGAGCCCCGACTGCTGCCGCCGCGGTACGCGTAGAATTTTTGCAGTATTTTTTTTAGGAACATTATTAAAACCCTAAAGTTTAGGGTTTAGAGTCTTCAGAAAAGTGGTGGCTTGTGTCCGCGAAGGTAGACATTGTCCAAAAGCTTCAAGCAATAGGGGCTCCTGGTCCACAGCTAACCTGCAACAAGTTTGTTTCTGTACAATGCCCAGCAAATCACATCACCTGAGACCCAAGCACGAACTTTGACAGCTGCGTGATTGTATCGCATCGTCAAAGTTTGTATGAAAACTAAGTAGCGCCTCTGCCGGACGTAAAAAAAAACGACGGGTTGCACTCCGGGAGTGCCGGCAGAAGTGAAAACTTGAATATTAACGTTGTGCATTTTTGATATTTTGGAATGGTTAGGGAATAATTTTACACGAATTGCTTTAATTATCAGTATAAAAGTACTATCGTGTATGTGGTAGAATACAATATTTATTTATTGCGCTATCGTACACAAACATGACAATTTATATTACATTAAAAAAGTTTATCTCTCAGGAAAATCAACATGAATCACGTTTAAGCGCACTTAGCGACATCTATTGTAAAGAAATCAACTTTCATGAATCACATTTAAGTGCACCTAGCGACATCTATTGTAAAAAAAGCATTTTCTACCAATAAAGCTGCCATGTGGACGTCCTAGATAGAGACTTATTATTATAAATACGATAAAATAAAATATTACTATTTTTCGTCCAATATATTGAAAGTCAACAACCTTTCCAATTTTATTGTGTGTCATGATGCGATCAGCTCACGTGTTTAACCTGACGCAAGTTTAACATTTTTTACCCATACAAAAAAAGTATACAACGCCGCTAAAGAAGTTTTCACTTCAAAAACAAACTGGCTCCTTCCATACAAAATCTGACGATACGATTACGGATCTGTTGAAAATCGTCTCCTCAACTGTAAGGTAAAAGTTAACTGAAGAGTTTTGTTTTTTTTAATGCATACCAGTAACTTACGTAATTCCTCAAAAGACATTCTCTAATATCAACAGTAGCCCAGGTGGTTTCGCAGTGCCCAAAATTGCCCATGGTCCTGCTTATTTAGACATAGCAGTAAGCAATCATAGAACAGAAGACTACAAATAAAACAATTCTTAAGGTTTCTCTGATGAAGAAGGTTACCAAAACTCTCTTACGGCCAGTTTAATCAAATTTCAGTAAAAGGTAGGCCTACTTGAGCTTTGTTTTTTTTTTCTTTCTAAATGGCTTCGCACGACTTGTGCATTTAGCCAATGTCAAGTATTAAAATGTTTACAAATGCTATAGCACTCGTGGTCAAAGTAATAAATCAAGTCAAAGTAAGTGGCAGTCAAGTCAATCCCCTTTACCCTGTTTCAGTAAAAGTGTGGATATTTACTGGAACCTGCCCGTGGACTTCTTGAGGGAACGTCGAAAGACACTTTCCGCTATTTTGTTTCACTTGCCAACACTTGTGCATATTTCCGAACACTTAGTGGTTAATAATCCACCATTATTAGACACTAACATCCGCCACAACACAATGTTTAACAAGGAAAACAAACCTGCTAAAGTGACGCTTCCCGATTCCGCCAAAAAGTCCTTGAGCTTTGTTGCCAAGATATTTTTATTATTAAAGCTATAATAACAATTGACGATAAGAGACGGAACCAGATTATCTTTACCTTTTACTGGAGGTTGATTTAGAAATTTTGATATTGAAACTGGCCAAAAAAATGACAATAACGGAATAAAGTTAATACTTGTAGTCGTCGATGGATACGCGGCCGTCTTTGTCTACATCGAGCTTCTTGAGCACCAGCTCCACCAGCTCCCGCACCCCCTCATCTGGATCTTCGTCGCCTGGCTGCTTCAGAAGGGAGTTCCTGGAATGAATTATATACTAATGGCATTAATAATGCAGTATACACTGTACCACCTGTGTTTCTGTAATGGGACTTATGTGCGAGGTATTTTTTGTCCGCTAAAAGAGATTGCTTGCAACAAATGCATCGGATAAAGCACACACAGGTATTAAACATCTCGCGTACTAAAAATCCCCCGAACAACAGAGGACACTGTGACCAGACCGGACAACAGTACGCGGGTGTCCCCGAAAAAAATAGAACCCACACTAAATAAAACTAGTTTTTACGGGTTAATGCACGAAACTTTATTTATTTATTGACGTTTCGCAGCCTTTTCAGGTCTGCATCGTCAGAATAATGACCTAAGAAACAAATAGAACCCACACGGCAAATTTTGGTGCATTTTTCTTTTCTTAAATCATGGTAATTACAACACAACGTAATCTGAGAATAATTACTTCTATAGCGTGCGCTTTTCTAAATTATCGCACACCGTGACAAGTCCTTGACGGACATTTTTTTTCACGATTCTGGGACTTTTCTGTTCTGAAAGTCCTTCGTCTGCGCAGGCCATAACTGTACTTTTGCCACGTAATTGAATTTATAACACATTTGCTCGTAAAGCGTCTCTTATTGCACCAATTTCAATATCATAATCTATCACATTACACACGCGTGCGGTAATGTAAAGTAAAACACACGGCTTATTATGTTCGGGCTAAAAACGAACAATACTTTTTTAAATCTTAACAAAGAGTTTTTATTTTAGAAAGGTAGCCTACATTTTCTTAATAAAATTAACTTTGGGCGATAAAATATAATATATAAACATTTAATTCTTTAATTTGATTCTTTTTGACAATAACAGATGGGGTGAAATAATTTTCTGGGCTCCGCTTACTGCTGCATTAAGTGCAGTGCAATGCGCGCTTGGAAATGGACGTGCGCCACTGTGCTGTGAGAATTTTTTATTTGCGTCTGACATGGCAATTGCTGGCGTTCATTGAAAAGGCCAAAGATACTATGAACGAGATCAACATCCGAATTTCAAAGAAGAGGAGGTTTGCGTTACTCTTCCGGTCCGTCGGTAAAGCCATCGCCATCGCGCATGAGGGATGTTACGGAAGAAACTCTGCAGGACATCGTCACCCTGCTGAAAGAATTGGATCCAGATGACGTGCCTACATTCATGGTGAAGAAGCCTACAAGCTCCCTCCAGTCACGTTCGACCACGTCGATGTCACCAGATAGCTTAAGGACATTGACTACCTAGAAGCAAGTCTGGCCGATGTTGTGAACAAGTTGAAGGACTCAAACAACACGGTCTGTGACTTGCGGGCCCAAGTGAAGTTATTAAGTAGCGCTGCTTGGACAAGTAGATCACCCGAAGCCTCGAACGTGAACACAAGTCGCGGGGCGAATAATGCATCCGTCGGCAGTTTAGAGTCGGCGCATACCAGTGCGTCACCGGCCGCCGTCATTGGGTGCGAGGTCTGAACATCTGGCGACCTTTTTGAAAGAGGAGCTTTGGCCGGAAGGTGTGGTGTACCGGAGTTGAAAGGCAGACTACCTGACACCACTCCGCGCCATAAGTCGCCGACTAAACGCGTTATCGTGGGATTTCCTGTATAGATTTTTTTTTGTTAAAAGGGTGGCAAAAAATCATATGGCCCGCGCCTGATGGTTAGCAGCCACCATAGCCTATGGAAATATAGACGCTTGTGATACAAAAAATATCACTCGCGCCGTTGCCTACCCCTTTTTATTGTGTCTGGAAAATGCCTTACGGATCCGTCAACCACTGGGGGAGCGAGAAGAAGGTATGTGGGACTCCTCCCTGTCCCCTTCAGCCAGCCCTGGAGCTCAGTGATGTGAACAGGGCCCTACCTACGCCCTGAGCAGGGCCACTAAAAACCAGACAATACTCGCGCACCGTCACCCGACACGCACTACGAGGACCGCGGTCCCCTAGTGCGTGCCGAGACGGCGGGTGTGGTCGCGGAACCCGTTTCCGAATGGCCGCGCACCGCTGTTGCCTACCCTGACCCAATGCCCTAACCTGTGAAGCCTTAGAACCATACTCACCGACAGAAATACAACACCACCAAAGGGTAGTGTTATTTAACTTTGGTCTTCTGTAAGCTGGAGGTTACTTCTCCAGAGGGGCGCTTCAATTCGAACGAAAAAGCCGCTATGCCCTATTATGTTTTCCATAATATATAGGTATACTATCATGGAACTATAAATATAACCGATAATGGTCCGATGACATCACCAGAGTAACAGGAAGAAACTGGATCCGGATCGCACAACACCGAGCAAATTGGCGTACCATGGAGGAGACCTATACACAGCAGTGGGTGGATAGAGGTTGAAGAAAAGAAGATAAATATAACAAACTTTTATTCGGCAGTATTCTTCAACCATACTCAATACTAGACAACTCACTTCAGTAACACGAACATCTCGTCCCTCGTGATGTACCCGTCGGCGTTCAGGTCGTACACGGCGAAGCAGTGGTTTTTCCTCTCTTCGTCGGTGCCTTTGAGGAGCACGCTCAGCCCGCGCACCCAGGCCTCGAATCTGAGCGCACCCTCGCCCCCCGCCGCACCCCGCTCCCATGTAATCCAGATCCGTTCTAGGATGGCTTCCTCGGTGATCATGTCGAAGGTGTTGTGCATCACGTCTCGGAATGTGCCTTGGTCGATACCCTGGAATGACGATAAAGTTGATGTGATTAAGACATCAGTTGCGGTGGGTGCGAGAGCTACTGTTGACTGATAATATTTTTTAAGTTTATTCGTTATTAGCTGTGCCCCGCGGTGCTACCCGCGGGATATTTTTCCGCAACCTATGTGTTAATCCAGGATGTCAGCTAACTCTATACAAACAAACACACACCCACACACTCACAAACTTTCGCATTTAGAATATTAGTGTGACTATTTGTGCCCCGAGGTTTTACTCGCGGTTTGTTAAGGATATTTTTCCGCAGTAAGCGTGGTCTATGTGTTAATGCAGGGTGTCAGCTAACTCCATACCAAATTTTATTAAAATGGCTCTGGTCGTTTAGACGTGAAGAAGTAACAAACACTCTGACACAGACACAAACTTTCGCCTTTATAATATTAGTGTGATAAACAAACAAAAATACTAATCCTCCCCCACCCCTAATAGGTGTATTATTATCGGTGCATAGCGATATCTGTTCTGTTAGGAATTTACTCACTCCTGCGATAATAACGGCGCAGTAGAAGACGGACGCAATACCGCAATAACGCATCCGATATTATTGGCCGATAGAATGTACCTATGGGATTGAGGCTTTAGTAAAGTGTAGAAAATGATGAACTTTTTACTCGTCTCAAAATAAGTTTGAAAAGTAGAAAGGCTACAACATCAACTCAAGCCCATATTTATACCGGAAGCGAACCATTTTCCCTAGCCTGGCAACGTGCGTGTGGTGGCCGGTAATCGTTTGAATAACAGTACCTACACTCGTGCTTCCAAGTTCGGCAACTATCATTATATAAAAGGCATTATTTAGTCGATACCACCACAATGATGTTACAATTTTTCCTAAATTGTTATCAGGTAATCTTCGTTTTCTTTAATTTAGCATACATTTTTTTCTTTATTAATAAGGCAGTAATACTAATTTTAGGGTGAAACGTGTGTAGGGTAATACCTTTTTTGTGACGCAGGCAAAACCTCTATTTATATAGAGGCACACCGCCGAACGGACTTCACACCTGGCTCCCGCAAGTCTTACGGGCCCCCGCAGTGACTGCCCACTGAGGACCCCGTAACTCTTGCGGACGCTTTACGGTATAATATCCGCTAAAAACCCTGCGAATACCCTCTAAGCTGCTAAGTGCGAAACCGCGGGATCCCCGTTTAGGGATTCTGCCGCGTAGGCCCTAATACCTGAAGGTTACACATCGTTGAATACCATATTGTTTTATCGCCATCTAAAAGTTCTGCACCGTTCCAGTTCCGAAATCATGTGAATACCTATATAACATAATTAAATGCAGTTTTCGGGTTCCGTACCTAAAAAGGAAAAACGGAACCCTTATAACAATAATAATAATTAATATTTATTTCAGACTTTACATCCATATACAAGTGTTAGTAACAGACGTAATCTTATTCTAGTGTTAGTAAATGAAAAACGTACAAATTGAACATCAAATAAAACAAATAACAATATACAACATTTGGATTCCGATGGGACTCGTCTGTTATTTATATATTATTAAAATGATAGACGGGCGCATGTAACTTCAGCCAGCGTCGGAATAGTGGGGAACCCCACCGCTCAGCCAGTGCGGATTATAGGATTACTTTGTTGTCAGTCTGTCCGGCTGTCTGTCAAGACCCTTTATCTCAGGAATGCATGGCGTTATCGAATTGAAATTTAAATCATATTATACTCCTTTGAAGCTGCAAAAAAATCAAACTTCAGAGCTAACTTAAAAAAGATGTACCTACAAAGTACGGAATCCTCAGTGGGCGAGGCCGATTCGCACTTGTCCGGTTTATTTTTTATCTTTGAAATAGTTTGTTGGGGTGAACCAGCTTGATTGATCACATAGACAACGCAATTCGTATAATAAAATGGAGCGTCGTGTCAGCCATATCTACAATTTGCGTGCGCTCCGTTCACAATCACATCATGTCATTCATGTCGGAGCGCTTCCGACATCTGGGTAATTTTTTATATTATAAATGGTATGTAGTCCTGACCCTGACAACTGTAATTTGGCATGTTTAATTACACACTCAGCATTTCAGCAGTTCTATTATATCATATTCACTTGTATATTATTTTAATCTTCGATGAAACAAAACTTTAAATTATTATTTAAATCGCGTAAATGCATGTAACTAGTGATACAATAGACGGAAATAAAATGAAAGCATTAATATAATTTTATTACCAGCATAGAGAAGCACAGCGACGTATAAGTATTTGCCTGAAAAGTGACATTATTATATTCTTCCAAATGGGGAAAATGGTGAGATTTGGTATTCAACTTCAATATATCATATCAGAATTAAGCAACTCTACCTTTTGTTCTGATATAATTTATTGAATATGGCAGCGTGCTCTGAGCAGCAGTTACTAGCAGCCTGTACATGCCAAACAGGGCCGCCACTTCATCCCTGCAACTAATTTAACTTACGTCAACCTTAGCCGGAGTCTGTACCATGGCGCCGGTGGGCAGCGTGCTCTGAGCAGCAGTTACCAGCCGCCTGTATATCCCAAACAGGGCCTCCACTTCATCCCTGCAACAAATTTAACTTACATCAACCTTAGCCGGGGTCTGTGCTATGGCGCCGGTGGGCAGCGTGCTCTGAGCAGCAGTTACCAGCCGCTTGTACATACCAAACAGGGCCTCCACTTCATGTCTGCAACAAATATTATATGGTGATAGGACATTAAAAATGTTTCATGTTGCTGTATTTTTTATATTAATAAAAACAATATCCCACTTTTCAGAACCGACAACCTTGTGTTTAACGACAAAAGCTGTGTTTTTAAATGTAATTTTTTTCTAGTAAACTTTTCTTTAGGGTTAAACATCTAGCAGTTAAATGCTTAAAAATAAATAAAAATCATAACTATAATTGGTATTTCTTCTTTCAAATGTTTAATACTTGAAAAAGTATTCATTTGACATTGTGGGTTACCTACAATGCGAAGAGATGGCGCTGCCTTGCAGCTTAACGCTAGGAAAATTTCGACGCGGCTAATAGGGCCGTGGTAGCATAATGGTCAGTGCATTCGCCCGGATTGCGAAAGGTGCGGGTTCGAGTCCCGTCCGCTGCCTGGTCCGCGTGGATTTTTTTCTAGTAAACTTTTCTTTATATTTAAACATCTAGCAGTTAAATGCTTAAAAATAAATACAAATCATAACTATAATTGGTATTTCTTCTTTCAAATGTTTAATACTTGAAAAAGTATTCATTTGACATTGTGGGTTACCTACAATGCGAAGAGATGGCGCTGCCTTGCAGCTTAACGCTAGGAAAATTTCGTAGCATAATAGTCAGTGCATTCGCCCGGATTGCGAAAGGTGCGGGTTCGAGTCCCGTCCGCTGCCTGGTCCGCGTGGAGTTTTTTCTAGTAAACTTTTCTTTAGATATTAAAACTTGTTAGTTATTTGAAAGTTATATCATAAAAATCAAATATGAAAAAGGGAGACTTTACGAAATTACTGCATTTGTTTTTGATTTTGTTTCTAATCTGTCATTTATCATTCATATAAACCATATCGATAGGATTCCATAGTAATTATTCAAGTTGTAAGCTGTAATCATGTCGCTTACACCTAAAGAATGCACCAGAATTCTCAAAATGCTGGAAACCGCCCGGAGTTTGCGCGATACAGCCAGGTCTGTCGGTGTTTCGCTGTCAACAGTACAATGAGGTCTCCGACGTTACGAGGCAACTGGCTCTAACGTCGACCAGGAACAGGCAGAACCAGGTGTACCACAGCACGAGAGAATCGATACTTGATGAACACCATGCTTCGAAATTGCTTTCTCATAGGAACTGAAATTACAAATCAGTTTCGACGCCTCGGAGGAAGTAACCCAAGCGTATGGACAGTAAGACGACGACTTGCTGAAGCTAGCTTGAAACCACTTAGACCTGCAAACGGCCCTAAACTGCAGCGTGGGCATCGTATTTCAAGACTAAGATATGCCCAGAACCAGTTAAATTGGACTATCTAATTGATCTTTTATGTTTTCCGACGAATCAAAATTTATACTCTACAAGCACGGCGGAAGACACAGAGTATATAGAAGACCTGGGGAAAGACTCAAGCAAGCAGGCATCGAAGAAAAAGTAGCCTACGGTGGTGGGTCTGTACTTGTGTGGGCCGGAATTTCTTCTGAGAGTCGCACAGAACTGGTGTTCATAGAAAACGGCTCTTTAACTAGCGAAAGATACGTGGAAGAAATCTTGAATAAACACGTTGGTCCATTTATGGTCAATTTTAAGAGAATAACATTACTCGTATGGAATGACCAGGACACAGCCCAGATATCAACCCGATCAAGCATACTTGGGACGAGCTAGGGAGATGCGTAAAACAACGAAACCCCCAATTACGCTTCGTGAACTCAAAATTGCTCTTACAGAGGAATGGGCGAATATTCCTCAAAATCGCTTGGTGTAAAGCATGCCAAACCGGGTAAACGCAATAATGGAAGCAGGAGGAAAATTCAAGAAAATCGTAATGTTCTTCAAAAATGTCATGTTTCCTATTTTAGTTTTAAGGCGAGATCAGCTAGTTTTTTTCTTTGTGTATTTATTTGTAAATAAAATGTGGTGACTCATAAATTTTATTACTTTCATTTAAGAACTATTTATTTGTCTTTCAAACACAATTTATTTCATTAAGCTAGCATTCCCAGTTTGCGAGATTTTTATGATTATTTATGGGACCCAGATTCATTGCTCTCGAGTGTATTTAATTGAATGACTATATAAATCGTAACTTATCTGTTGTGTTCGTTGAAGTTGGAGTTTCTGTTAAACTTTTTATTAAAACCACTTTATTATATACAGTGTGGTCGACAGTAACGCGACCGGCATATTTTAAATATTTGCTTTGCAGTTTAGTGAAATAAGTAAAAGATTGAATAGAATATTTCATTTTTCTAAAATGCTTTGTAAAAAGTATTCCCTCCAGTTTCTTGGGAAAAAATCACTGAGAAGAAATATGTATCTACTCTCTGAAAAAGTAATGAAAAAGAGACTGTATTGGATATGCGAAAAGAAATATCGTGATTCGGGCAGGATCTTTTTTTTCGATAGATCTTATTTTTTTACAGCAGGCTATTCAGTTCGAGCTTGGGCTACGGCTGATAAAAGAATGGTAGCATGAGTCATGAAACAGCCATTGAAGGCGCTTGAGGATACTTCTCAAAAAAAATGAGTTCACGAAGCGTAATGAATTCAGTATGAGGATATTAATTTCGATTTCGAAGTCGTACAGTCGATTCTGTACGACGTCAAACCCTAAACTAATTTTGACGTATTCGATTAGCCCTCACTGACCCATGATATTTGAAAAAAAGTTCCAGTTAAAAATATTTGGCCATGGATAAAGCTAAAGGCAAAAAATGCTATGATTGTTGCTGAACTTACTCATGAATTAAAGTCCTCGTGCAGATCTCTCACTTTGCAGCTTAGCCGAAAAATTGGCGAACATTATGCCGCGAAGATATCAATAATGCATTTTGGATGAATTTTAATATTAAACCAACAAACATCAATAAAAATAATTTAATGAATTACAGTTTATCTCATTAAATTTCCAAAGTTTGCATCAAAATATAGCGGTCACGCTCCTTTCGTACAAACTGTAATAATTATATGGTCCATCACTTGCACCAAAGTTTTTCCATTCGAACCCAAGCTAAATCCGTTTCGACTTTTCATAGATAGAAAGACTGAGGTTATACTAAAATTGTTTCATTTACGAATTTTGGTGTAAGTTTTCATAATTTAAGTTCTTTTAGGAAAAAGTTTCAAAAAAGTTCCAAAAACGAGAGAAAAAATAGCAGGACCGATTTTCGGACAGGAATATTAAAAAAAAAACTTTAAAAAGTTTCGAGTTGAACTCACTTGGAGAAGTGTGTGTTACGATAAAGTGTCTCTAGCGTCTTCTCTTTGAGTTTCCGATTGGGCATGACGACACGAGCGTCGTGTACCAAGCTTCTTGCGAACTACGTTACGTCCTTGGCGTAAACGTTAACGTAGGAAGCGACCTGTGGCTTAGCGACCGCCTCGCCGTTAATTATAAGAAAAAGTGGCAAGTCATATAGGGAGCAGCGTTTATAGCCGAATTTTATCATACAAGTTTTAATACCAATGAAAGTTTTCACATGTTTTGTGGAAATGTGAGTAGCAGCCTGGCCGTTGATTACAAAAAATGGCAAGTCATGTAGGCAGCTTTTAAGGCTAGATTTTATTATAGAAGTTTAGTACAAAGACTGGAAAGTTTTTACATTTTTGACGCCCGGAAAAATATAACTAGGTATAACTATTTTTTAATGATAGTAGAGAATCATAAAATTGCTAAGTATAGACTAGACATACGTGCATATTTATTTTATAAAATATTTGTATATTGGGTATATATGCATTTTTTTACAATAGATTGCGCTAGGTGCGCTTAAATATGATTCATGTAAGTTGATTTCTTTACAATAGACGTCGCTAAGTACGCTTAATAGTGATTCATGTAAGTTGATTTTTCTAAGAGATAAACTTTTTTAATGTAATTCATGTTTGTGTACGATAGCGCAATAAATAAATATTGTATTCTACCACATACATGATAGTATTTTTATACTGATAGTTAAAGCAATTCATATTTCTTGTAGTTTTCATACATTTTATATGGACTCGCCACACACGGTACGCCCGGGTGGCCGCCATACGCTACAAATCGTCGTTGCTCGCTTCTTGTGGCCCGCACCGGCCACTTAATGCGCCTATACAAAACGCCGCCACAACTCACTCGCGCAATCGCGCGTGGGGAATCCCCCACCCCTCTCTCTCTTACCTTAGTCGGCCGCTGTCACGCGCTTCAGCCACTTTAGGAGCCGCTTCTAACTACTCGTGGCGGCGTTTGTGGCTGTGGCGTGTGGCCCGTGTGCGGTGACACTTACATTGACAAAGCCTTGCGCGTGGCAGCACTTTGTCCCGCGGTTAGGACAAACATACCATGCATGAAGCGTTACCACATATATCGAAACTCCTTACTTGTTGTAGCGCGTAGTATTTATTAGTACGTCGTAAACCTTCCGCAGTAGTCTCATGCCTTGCTAAGCTGGTTTCTTAGGCCGGAGGCGCCGCTGCTCTTATTGCCCTGCGCGCGAAAGCACTTCGTCCCACGCTAAGGATCAAATGTTCCATGCGTGAAGCGTTAGCACAAGCGGCTACGGTGCCAAAAGGCTGAGTTGCAATCAAAAAACTCGCATATCGACTCGAAACTACTTACTTGTTAAAGCGCGTAGTCTATTAGTGCGTCATTCATCTTTTGGGGCAGACGCATGCCTTGCTAAGCTGGTTTCTTAGGTCGGAGGCGCCGCTGCTCATGCATTGGCTAAGCCTTGCTCGCGACAGCACTGCGTTCCACGCTCAGGAACAAACATACCATGCTCAAAGCGTCAGCACGAGCGGCTATCATACCAGTAGGCTTACCTGCTAAGAAATAACACGCATATTGAAACTTCTTACTTATTGAAACCGGAATCGCGTAGTCTTTATTAGTGCGTCATACACTTTTGGGGTAGGCCCATGTCTGGCTGAGCTGCCTCGTTGTTCTTGCACGGGCGCAGCCCTGTGCGCGATAGCACATCGTCCCGCGCTTAGGAACAAATGTATCATGAGTGAAGCGTTAGCACAAGCGACTACAGTGCCAATACGCTCAGCTGCTATCAAAAATATTGCATATTGAATTCGAAATCCTTACTTGTTGAAGCGCGTAGTCTTTATTAGTGCGTCATACACCTTTTGGGGCAGTCGCATGCCCTGCTGAGCTGGTTTCTTAGGGCGAAGGCGCCGTTGTTCCTGCACGGGCGGGGCCCTGCGCGCGGCTGCATTTCTCCCCGCGTTTAGGAACAAACGCACCCCGCGCAAAGCTATGGCGCTCGCTGCCATGCTTAGTTGCTTTTCCGTCGCCATATCCGAAATTGGAATACCTGTTCAACGATAACTCCCGTTATTATATTATTCAGTCACTAAGCTGATGCATACAGCAGAAAATTCTGTCGTTCTAACTATCTTCACCTTACTGACCTTAATGCAATCCCATGGAGCCCTACTGTAAACACAATATTGCTTGGAGACATATATAAATAGGAATAATCAGAAGTTTGGATAGCAAGTTCAATAAATAATAAAAAATCATAAGACCTCGATTGCATCAATTGCATTAATTGAAAATACCTATTTGTTGAAATGAAATATAGAAAATACCTATTTAAATTTTATATTTAAATACTTTTTTAGAAAAGCATTTTCCATTTTATTTTATATACTTTTAAAGACATATTTTGTATTTGCAAAATGAAAAATACTTTCTAACCGACTTCAGAAACGAGGAGGTTCTCAAATTCTCAATTCGTTCAGTATATATTTTTTATGAGTTTACACTGATTACGCCGAGATTTGACGTGTTTTTTTTTTGCCCGATGCAGAATAGTTGTAATTTAGTCACATAAACATTAAATTCAGTTTAGCGCAGTATTCTGATACTTTATTTAGATTCTTTTTTTGTTCGATAGGAGATACTTGTCATTTAGTCATAACAAAAAAACAAGTTTCACCCAGTAGCTTTTATTTTATGAGCACTTTTGCTTACTTTGACTCTTGAATCGTCTCATCTTTTTATTAGGGGTGGAAACTAAAATCACATAAATTCGTGCGGGTCCTAGTATGATTTGGAGGTCGGGCTGGACCAAGGTTGAAACATGGAATAGAATTTCAATTTTAAAGCCGGTATACGTGTTTTAATAACCCTCCCCCGACTTCCAAATCATACTAGAACCCGCCCGTTTTTTGTTTTTTGTGAACCAGATATTACATTTTTTGATAAATTTAGTCAACAACAATACCAATTTAGTGCGACTTCTTTTTCTCACTATGACATGACACTGAACTGAACTGTTTTGTTTTCGAGCCACTAACATAAAAAAAAAACAATAAAATAAACACAGTTTAAAACTAAATGTATTTTATTTTAATAAAGTATTTTGGAAATAGGAATTTTGTATTTAGTATTTTAAATAAAAAATGAAAAACTATTTTGTATTGGAAATTAAAATACATTTATCAAAATATTTTACAATTTTATATTTAAATAGTTTTTTAAAGGTTTTTTGCCCATCTCTGTTTTAAAAAGCAGGTTTTCGATACACTTTTAGAAAAATGTATACCTAGCACCTAGGTATCGATAGAAAAGAATGACAGTAAATTAAAAATAAAAAGAGCAAATTATAGATCTTAGATAAATTATTGGTCTCCCCGCAGTCGACTCAGGAAGTTCAATTATTTATCTGAGTAAGTTAAACATATTGTTTTTAATATAACAATGTAGATATAAGAAAATAGTAGCTCAGGTTCAGAATATTCACAATCCGGCTTTCAAAGTAGAAAGAAGAAGAAATTCGATACATTTTAAAAATTTACCACACAAAAGGTAAAAATGCAACGCAAGAAGCGAAAAAAACTTGTGATGTGTATGGATCCAGTGCAATGTCTGTGTGAGTAGCACAAAGGACAATGTTAAAATTGGCCTAAGAACCAACACCAATTTGGCATGTATGATAATTCTTAGTATATTTTTTGCGATAATTATCAGTATTTAGATTGTGACGGACACTTCCAGTTAAGTAAGCTAAATTAAAAAGTTAATAAATAATCTGAGACAATAAATACCATTTTATGTGTAGAATCTATGACAGCGCTGCAAACAAAACACTCTTTCTTCCCAATGCCGGCACTTCACTTTGCTGTTCGTATTTGCTATTTAAAAACATGACATCAGTCAGTCCTTTTCATTCCTTATTAAGCATGACAAGGACAAACTGTTGTCAAGTGAAGGGCCGGCATAAACTCGATACTCTGTGGTTGTGGTGCAGGCAGTTTGCATTCGCAGTAATCTGTGGCATTCGTGCATTCTCGTCAAAGAGTACATTTTATATTATATACGGAAAATTCTCGTTTCGGATTACCTGTTGTGCGTGTTTATTTGCGATTGTTTTTCCTTTAATGAACTATTACTATTTCGGCTATCAAATATGCCATCGATGTTCCCAAAGAGCAGAAACCTTATTTCCAAGTGCTAGTGAACCTGTGCCACAACATCCTGAGAGGATCATACTGCCAAGTTATTCAAGAGCACCTGATACACATTCACGCTGCATATTTACACAATATACATGTGATATAGAAATAAATACAATATACAATATGATACAATTATGTGAAAAATAGTCAATAAATAATAAGAAGCAAAACTACAGTTTTTATTTTATTCATTATTCCTACCTAACCAAGTTTTTTCTAATAGTTATTCTTTAAAATCACACCTTATAAAATGAATTAGTTGTAATATTAATTCACTTCATACTAAGTTCATAGGTTGACCTATGTTTCATTGAATATTAAATATAACCTCAAAAAATTGTTAGTTTTCCTAATAATTTAAGTTCTCAGAAGTGTCCGTCAATAATCTTTGTTTTCACAGTCATTTAGTTGCGATTTCGAACCTAGAAAATAATATTTCATGATTGTTGGTTCTTAGGCATGTTATGTATGGACGCAGAACAATGTCCTTTACCTTCATCATCAGCCTATTAATGTCCCCACTGCTGGGGCACAGGCATTCCCTATGGATGGAATAGGGAGTTTGGGCCATGACCCACCACGCGGGCCCAGTACGGTTGGTGGGTGCTAACGACTGCAGATACAGCCGGGACCAACGCCTTAGCGTGCCTTCCGAAGCACGGAGGAGCTCGAGATAGTAATTTTTGGTCACCCATCCAGTGACCGACCACTGCGAAAGTTGCTTAATTTCAACGATCACAGCCGAACGCGCTAACCACTTGCGCCATCGAGCTCCTCCAAATTTGCTTTAGGAGTTTTCAATCCGGAAATTTTGATTTCAAAGATGCACGTCGCTGTGGTCCACCTGT